ACTCCCAGCAACGTTTATTTGTGCGAGTCGTGTGGACTCGTTTATGACAACGCCCCCCAATCACGACTGTTCTCAAGTTTGTGAAATATTATTGGGGGGGGGGGGGGGAGTAAACGATCCGGTATTATGTACACGTGTCCCAAGTGCGATAAACACTTCCGGACTCGCACCAAATTCAACGCACATATCAAGAAATGTCGTAGCGAAGGAAGGAGTTTGTATTTGCGCGAATCCTGTGGCAGGATATTCCAAAGCCAAAGATTGTTTCACGATCACTCGTCTCAATGTCGCAACAACAATGATCTATCAATGACGACGTCTTCCGGAGCAACGACTAAGGAGGTAACGTGCCGTCAATGTCACCAACGATTTGAAAGTCGTAAATTATTGTGGCATCATCAACGTCGAAACCATTACAGCAGTAATGACGAACTATTACAACCCGAACCATGGCCAGAAGGAGATGCGAAAAGACCGTGGACGGACCAAGTCGATGGAGGTTCGGTGGTGGATGAAGCTCTTAAAGACATATGCATCACTCACAGAGATATCATACTGCATCCTCATAAATATGGCGGAGATAATATTGTGCACACGTTCAATTTCCCAATGACCGAACTCGTCAACACGGACGCAATTGATTTCAGGAATCAGCTGGATTACATTTTCCAGCACAAAGAAAATTCGTTTAAAGTGAACTTATCATTTGGGATGTTTTTACGACACATTGAAACGGGTGAATACAGATACTTTATTCCATACGAGAACACTTTCTTTTTTGACAGACCTCCTTTAATTCATAACCGTGTGATGCTGAAGCGCGTTGTGAAAAAAATTCACAGGAAAAACCTAGACGAGGTCATCTTCCAACAGCATCCGGACATGAAGTCGAAGGTTGTTCTTTAACCACGTAGGTAGAGAGAGGATTTTCTTGCCGAGAACGTAATTAGTACGGTACACCCTGTATGCGACATTGGTGATGAATACGGGCTTCCACTTCGTGTTCTGACGCTGTGAAATATATTATCGTATGTGAACCCCACTTGACCTCTGGGTATGGACATCATTTTCACTTCCGTGCGAGGGTAAAAATACTTAGCCGTTGTCGTAGAAAGAGCGGTGTTTTGTCCGTATATGACGCCGGGGTTCACCTCGACACTCATTATGCGAAGGACGATGTCGTCTATGTGTACCATGTAATTTTCATCCGGTTTGGTGGCCATCAAGAGAAAGCAAGTTCGGAGGAGATCTGTATAGTTTCACTTGCACGTCGATCTGGTTCATGATGTAGCGTCTCAGCTGAAAGAGATCGTGCATAATAGGACCTTCCATGCCCAAACTCTTACTCTCCGACATAAGCTTGTGTCTTTCGAACATTCCTCTGTTAGTCGAGTTTGGCTTTGTAACGTCCATATTTTCTGCCGTGTCCTTGACGAATAGCTGCGATGTCAGCTTGGAATTGGGGTCGACTTTGTTTGTATTTAACAACGTTTTAATGATGGCTTTGTACGGATAATGATTGTTTGTGGAATTGATGAGACGTCCCTGTAACCAGACGTCCACTTGAGAGAATAGTGAGTGCAGAAAATGATTGACCGGAGAGCATTCGTCCCCGAGGGTCAGGTTGGTCCCGTCTGCTTTGGTCAAATGACATTTGACATACAAGGACGAGCGCCTGAGATCTATGTAATCTAGACTGTTTTGTCCGCTAATGTGAAATTCGATAGGAGCTGATCCGGACAGGGGAGAAATAAGGCGACAGTCTTGTAGATACGTTCTTTCTACTGCCGCTTGCGTCGGGGGTAGACTAAATAGATCCAGTTCTGGTGGTTGGGTTTCGCTGAAAAACCCGGACTCTGAAGAGATTATGGTAGACATAATTAGCTAAATATATCTCTGTATGAGAGCGATTTCCCTGTTTTTGCTTTTTCCCCATATGTGGATATTTTCCTCGTCTTCCCGTCTTTTCTGCTCGGAGCTCTCTTCTTGCCAAATTTTTGTTCGTACGTCTGCCTTTCGTAAGGGTCTTCTTCCAACTGCCTCCTCCGTGCTTGCAACCTTTTTTTTAATCATCATACCTTCGTTTATGGCTACCTTGGAGACGATGTCTGGGTTGTGTTCGATCTCCTACTTGGCCTGTTCTACTGCCTGTTCTACCGGGACTCACAAGATTTATATCCCTTGCGAAGTCTACCACTCGTTGACGCTCGCCTTCGGGAGAGATAGCATGTCACATGGTGAGTTGATGATCATCGGTTTTGATGCCGATACTGGTGACATAGTTGTGACATTGTTTCTGAAGCTATTGTTTTGGTGGAAATAGGGGTTTATTTTCCCATGCGCTACATCGCCGTAATATTTCTTCCACGTCTTTGGATTCGGAACATACTGCATTCTGCCGCGTTTGGTAGTGCGTCGTCGACGTCCATAACACTAAAATGTTCTGTAATTAAAAGATGTCCGTCAGAAAAGTGGCTGTATTGCCCCAGGCGTCCGTTATATAAACATCCAACCGCTCCACGGTATCGTTAATCACTCTCACGCCAATGTCGTAGGGTTCAGAGAAAATAGCCTTCCACGTCGATGCGGTTGACTGTTGCACTCGTCTCAACAGAGGTTGACGTTGGCTGTGTACTATGATCGGTTCACAAATGGAACAGAATATATACAACATTCCATTCAAAACATCTCTTTTCTTATTGGCGTTCTTCCTTCTGGCGTATACTTCTCGTAGTGATATGGTCCAATGTCCGTTAAGTCTGAGTGGTTGTTTCAGGTAAACGGAAAATTTATAAAGTTTATTTTCAGGAAAATACTCGACGCTATCGTCGCTCTTAGTCCCAATCCATTCCGTTGACATCATTCTCTCACTACGTGTACGTTCTTGATTTGGTCAGCGTCGATCCATGAATTGATAAAAGGATCCTTTAATGGGATCGGATTGGAGGTCTTCTATCCAATATACGTGTATATTGTCTCTGAGTTGTCGCTGATGTATCCTAAATACTTCTTCCAACCATTTCTGTTCGTATTCCTTCTCGAACGTTCTCTTGACCAATGATGCTCTGACGTGGTCTCCTACTTTAAATGCAAAGTTGCTGTTTCGTAGAGGTTTGATATTGGCTTTGTCCGCGTATATATCCAACCATATGCTAGCTTCGTTTGATAGTTTCACTTCCACGGGTGCTCTTCCTCTCAGGCTCCTGTGCGGGCGATGGTTGTAATTATAAACAAGGTCTTGTAATACGTGGATGTACCTATGGGTATGCCTGTACGTGAGGAATCTATACATCATAGATCTCAAAGTACGAATGAAACGTTCGGCGCAGTTCGCTTTAATGTCTGAGTTTTGCGTAACAAAATGTATGACGTTAAATAGAGTGTAAATCCGTCACACTGTTTGATTATTAAATTCCTTTCCTTTGTCCGTTCTTAGACTGTATGGCGGTTTCTCCAAGGATGACAATAGTTCCCTTATTGCTTTGGCAGTCGTGTTTGATTCTTTATTTTCCATTGGTCGGACCCAGACATACCTCAAAAAGCAGTCGATTACGATGAGAATATACTTAATTCCATCGTTGTCTTGTGCTAACCTAGAAACGTCGCATAAGTCTCCATCTGCTTGTACGTTCATTCCTCCCACGATGACTTTATTTCTTGAAAATCATTTGTTTGGTAAACGATGTAGGTTGTAGGCGTCTTGCGTTCTCATCCATCTTCGTACGCTATGAGAAGAGACATTAGGGTTACGATGCTTCAGAGCGCCATAAAATTTTTGTTCACCCGCGAAAGCACCCGGTTTCCTGGGATCGTAGTATTCCTGATGATAATCAACCTGCATGACTATACATTCCCACACCAACGTTTAACCGTCCGTTTGATATGGTTCATCCACTGGTCTCGGTAGTCTCTACATTGATATTTCAGAAAATATAATGGAGAGATGACGCGTAGATACGGATCACCATCCACGTACTGACGCCACTTCAGAATAACCGCGTCTTCGTCAATCGCTTTTTTAGATGTATGAAAAAATGTATCGAAATCATGCTCTGTCTCCCTCTCATACCACTAAGGCATATGCGCACGACAGATAGTATTCCAAATATGCTGTTACTCTCTCAGAGTCTATTTCGTCCACTTCTGTTGGTAAGTTCATTTCCTGTCCGCTATGATGTAAGGACTACGGTGATTGTACGCTGTCCGAGAATATATAAATGTGCACAGGCTTCCCCATGAGTCCGGAATGTCCACGGGTCAATATCGTAGCTCCTCTTCAAGATGGCGCACACACTCTCCTTTTGAATAATACCAACGTTGACTACATCCCAACACGACTTCGTCGTCGAAATGCAGTCTATGCTGTTGTGGTGGCTTGGCAAGAATAACCCATTGATATTGTTTCGTATCCATCGCGAAATATACAATGAGTTCGGTGTTTGTATGTCTGTATGATTTGTGGTTCTCGCGAGTATGTATATTGTTTACTTACAACTCGATGCCGTCTGTGTACTTTTCTCGCTAGCTTCCCGGGGCTGGTGTTTATCCTACGCGGCGAGGTGTTTAATTAGTGGGCGACGGTTGCTCGCCGCGGCAGAGCTCGCTAATTGGGGGGACCTCTTTTTATCGAAACATTTAACATGGGAATCCCCATTCAAAATTCTGCCATAGTGACACATACATAACTACTCACATTCCTCTATATGCTTGTACTCATCATGGTTTTGTACTCATCACATTGGGAACACTTATTTGAAAAAAAATCCTGAAGTGATTCTCTTACTCATCGTGGCTTTCGCGGCGATTCGCGGCACCGAGGTTTGTACTTGAAACCTGGTTTAAGCGGTAATTGTTATTTTTCAAATGCGGCTTTCCCGGGCGGACACCCACTTGTTGACCTTTTTTGTCTTCCAGTTATGTCATCAATTATCTCTGGTCTTTTCCGTCATTATTGACGACAACGTAAATACATTTACTATATATTTCTTATTTCTATTCAGTGCTTGCCAGGCCCTTGTCATTTCCCACCGTCTCCATCCTCGCAGCGTCCGGGACCGAAGTTCTCCATCACCTCAAGACACATGCCATCCCGCTTTGCCATCACAGTAAGTGTTAATGGGTGGAAACTGTACATGTAGGACAATATTTAAACCAGTCCAGCGTTGCCTATCCCAGTCTTGGATATTTACTAATTAAAAACTGCCCATCAACTGTGACCTGACCCATACCCGAACTTTCCTACCAACCGTGAATTAGTGATACACGTGAGAGAGATCAGTGTGCTTTCAAACTAGAACTAGTTTACCTGTAGCTTACTTTCATTGAACTTGCTACTTGCTAATTTGCTATTTGTACGGTGGCTTCAGATGTGCATTTTGTAGTCGCTACCTTTACATTAATAGAAGCGACAAAACCCTTTCCACACCTATAAGAAATTTCTGCTTAAAGCATAGTCGTTTGTGCAACACTGACTATATCGTGAGTATAACAGCTGCAGGGTGTTATACAGCACTACATTCGTCCTGAGCACTTCTCCGACAGTGATTTCGAAAGAAGTATTTTTTTTTAAATAACATTAGCTTCCACGATGATGGACTGTTTGTTGTTTGTCGGCAATTTTCCAGCTATAGGAGTGAATGAGTGAGTTTAGATTTACCCCGCAATCAGCAATATGACGACGGTCTGCAAATAATCGGATCTGGACCAGACAATCCGGTGATCAACAGCATCAACATCGATCTATACAACTGGGATACGATAACATGTATTAACCAAGTCAGCGAGTCTGACCACCCGATCCCGTTAGTCGCCTCTTACGACAAGCATGGATTGCTTAAGACCAGGGCCTAGATTTTCGAAGCTCTCTTAGCGCTAAGATAGTCGTAAGTTAATGTTAATGTATGGCACTTACGACTATCTTAGCGCTAAGGGATCTTCGAAAATCTAGGCCCAGGGCCCCGTTCCTCAAATTGATTGTAGCGCTACAATTGTCGTAAGTCTATGTTAAAGCACAGGTAAACTGTAGTGCAAATAGGGTTGCGAAACAAAGAGAAAATGACCAGTCTTCCCATATGGGAGCGAAGCGAGCAAAGGTTGGCAACGTGCTTCCCTCGCTTCGGTTCTAAAAATATTTTTAATATCAAAATAAAATATCGCCATCATCAAAGGTAGACACTCATTTCCTCACAGAGTTGTGTTCTCAGATTTCCATCCTCATATTTAATAATTATTCACGTACAATATATTAAATTCAACATTTTAAGCGCAAATTGTGGCATGTCAAATCGTTCTTCGCCTCCATTACCCCTACCCGCTACGATCGCTTTGAGGAACGGGGCCCAATTCTAACCTGGATATTCACGAGTGTCCAGCTATAGGACAGCGGTCTGTAAATAACCCAGTGATCGACGTCATGAGCAGCGATCCACACAATCAGGATACAATGATATGTGTCAACCGTGCCTCCAAGCTTTGCCCATTAGTTACATAGGTCGCTGAAGACCAGTCTTTACGACGACGAGCGTCAAATCGGTTGCTCTCAGGGTGGCTTTTGGCATCAAAACATCTGATTAACGAATCAGAATAGGAGAACTGACACTTTCAAAGTTTCTCAATGACAATGACAATATGGTATGTAGAACAATTTATTTACCTAAAGGTGTATTGATAACTTTGATACTATCAATGGATGGTTTGAAGTTGTAATTACCTGAAACATAGCATACTGACTCGAATTCGGAGGTTTCAAATGTTATAATTTCAAGGCATCAAATACTTGACCATCCTCGCAAACACATAATGCGTTCTGATATTACATGATACAAAAACATATTAGTAACATCCAGTCACACAAGAGACAGACATGGCGTCCGGAATACTGTTACTTCGTGTGTTTTTTAAACTTGGAAACTTACACTATCTTGCTATTTTTCTTATGTTTGGGTTTGGATTCCAACCACCAGTATAAGTCTTCTTGACGTAGTTTTTCTTTTTTTCTCTCCCAGACCAAAGACAATAAATCAAGAAAGGAGACCAACTAAAGTCTAGAGTGGTTGATGCAAGTCTAGATCACCTTAGGTCTAGGCCTAAACCTGAGAATTCTTCTGGGGTCGTTTTGGATTTTATTGTTATGCTTGTAGATACTATATTTGTAGGAGACGACGTTATTGCTGGGAGTAAATATCAGTCTAACTCAAGAGTGTGCAAACCACCATAAGTTTTTCATTTGGTTTCGGGTGGTCAGGCTCGATTATTTACAGACCGCAGCCATACAGGTGAGTGCGGCGTAAAACTAAACTCACTTCATTTGGTTTGAAGTTTCTGGCATATTTTTCAACGGACTGGAATCTGCTGTTTTATTTTCTTTCCAGGTGGAAGAGGAATAGAGTTATGTACATCATGGGTGCACCTAAAGAAGTCGGAACGCAATAAGTTGGATTGTTGTCCAATTTGACGAATCATAATCAAGTCCAAAATATACATGTGACCAGCAAGTGCTTGGAACATCAAAGAAGAGTTACAAGACATGTGTATACTGTACACATTAAAGAGAAGGTTCAGGAAAGGGATCCTGAAAAGTGTAACTGTTCATTCAATTAAGGAGAGTATATATATGCATTAACAGTTCATGCTTTTATTTAATTCCTATTCGTTGAGTTAAACATGTTTATCTGAATTTTGAATTCTCTTAAGGCGATTGAAAAGTGTTGAATATGAATGAAAACTACACTGGACTTGTACTACTTTTAGTGATCTGCTCGTGATGTCCAATAAACTTGACATGTAATAGTTTTAGTGACCTACTCCTCGTGATGCCCAGGGTGTATCAAAATGATATTTGGAAAAGGTAACGTGGCCTACCCTTTCAAGACACTGCTGTTTGTATGCGTTTGGCACTCCGCAAACCTATGCTCGTGGGTTCGAATCCAGGTTCTCCTGAAATTGATTCTATGACAGCACCACCATGCTTGTGGCATTCGCCAACATGGTAAGTGTCTGAGACCTGTATTACTTCAAAGTCAACTAATATTCGTGTCGTTTACACTTAATGTATAGAGGATGTTATATGAGTGCCCATGTTATACTAAACAAGTGCCTAAATGTTGGTATTTCCCGAGCGAGAGCGCGGGATATACCGATATTTAGGCACGATCGCGTGTCCTAAACATTATAAGTTGTTCACTGGTCACGAGGGGGGCTTGGGTTGATGTACCCTCGAGGGACCAGTGAACAACGTATTATCTTACCGAACACCTTAATCTTAATTTTGAATTGTTTGAAGCACGGGTACCAACCTTTTTGTAGCACAGGTCCTCGTGTCTTAGCGAAGATTAAAGGTTATGTATACAATATGTATTGTACTGTCAAGCATTTCGAGTCGGGGGTCATCTCAAAAGTTTTATGTGTTTCTAACATCTTTAATCCTAGCAAGACACGAGGGCCTGTGATTTGGAGCCATCGCTAGATTTGCTGACAAGATAAAATGAGTTAGAGTTATCTCCCTTCCATCGATTTGCATTCGCACAACATCGGTAATTTCCGTACATCATCCGTGATTAAATGATATTCGAGATAAAGAATTACTACCACGAAGTACCAAATGAGTTGCCATTGACAGCGGGGTACATTGAAATGTTACTCGCTTGTAAATAATAGAAGAGCGCTCAGCCAATCAGAAAGCGACGTTTATGTGTGAGGTAAGATAAAGAATCACATATGCACGAATATAATATTAGTAGTAGCATATAAGTAATCAGTTCCGGACAGACAATAGTATTCCTAAGGAGAACAATAGCATTCCTAAGGAGAACAATAGCATTCCAGGGGAGAACAATAGCATTTTTCAAGGAGCGCTCCTACATACCCAAGGAGCTTTCAGGAGCACATTCCATAAATTCCAGGAGCTGTCCTTTGAACCCTTAACCCTATTGTATACAATGATAGCCTACACTATGGTTCTATACCAGCCAGTAAAGAGTTAAGTGATTTCTTTATTTACTATCATGACTCACGGAGATGGGAATGTGTATTGAAATGTTATGAATAGGAACCAAGCAAATTTGATATATTGAAATCATTGCTATTAAATTTGAAATGGGTGGAATGTTAGCAGCCTACATCTTTTAAATATTTGTGTTGTTTGCCATTCCATTTATCGTGTCTTGTTAACCAACCAATCAGACAGCATGTGTACTACTCTACATCCAATCAGACAGCACAAGCACTACACAATCCAATGTTGCACCTTCCACTATGAGACATTTCAAATCATTTATCATTGCTATCATAGACCAGAAGAGTTTTGGAAAAGCATTTCTGCTCGCAATCAATATGGCGCAGAAGGTGTTGGACATAAGACGTAAAGGCTTCTCAACAGACCAGTTACTAACTAGTGTGTTTCAAGAAGTGAAGGATATTGTGAATATTCAGGTACATTTGCATGAAACAATGATTCGAACAAGTGAGTTGTACAAAACCACGTACACCAAGATGGCAGAGCGAATGAAGACCTTAGAAGAGAAACTGCCATCAGTATCGCCCGCTCTCTTGAGTTTGCTGTTGGATTACATGAAAATTGCTGCCACATCTGCCAACGAGAATTCAGAGAACAGAAAGCAAAAATCTCCCATCGCATCTCTTCCTAAGGCTGTTTGTTAAGCCCTATTCTCATTTCCTTCTTCATTAGCGAATTGGAAAATGAAATAATTCATAAAGGCAAACATGGTGTACAACTATATCCTGATATTTTGGAGATTTTAATGCTACTGTTTGCTGACGACATGATATTAGTATCGGACTCAGTGGTAGGTTTACAGAACCAATTAGACATTCTGGAGAACTACGCGAAAGAATGGAAATTAGATGTTAATCTTGATAAGTCAAATATTGTTGTATTTAGAAGGGGTGGACCAATCGCTAATGGCGAAAAATGGTCTTATATCGGCATTCCAATGCAAATAGTTTCTGAATACAAATATCTTGGAATACTTTTTAATTATACATTGAATATGGGTAAAACTGCTTTTGCCTTATCAGCAAAAGCCAGAAAAGGCTCTGGTGTATCTGCTTTCATCACTGTATTCATTAGTGCCAATAACACCAAAGATGTTTTTTAAACTTTTCGATGCACAGAACAACCAATGCTTTTGTATGGGGCGGAGATATGGGTTTTCCAGACTTTTGAACAGATTGAAAAGATACATCTATTGGCATGTAAGAAGTTCCTGAATGTTAACATTACAACACCAAACTATATGGTATATGGAGAATGTGGAAGATACCCACTTTATATAAACTCTCACCTTCGCTGCATAAAATACTGGTTTATAATACTGAAAATGCATGAACAGCGTCTACCAAGAAAGTCATATAACATCACAGGACCAAAACCCGGACAGTACACCATTGAAATATACGTAAATAAAGTAGGAAATACATGCTATGACCGGATTTACGTATGTTTCCAGAGATTTCCCAACTTTGGGTATATATTTCATACAAATCTATACCTTTGAAACATATGCTCATCGTACATTTCCGTATGCGCAAGCACCTCGTTCATGTTTGCCATGACCGGATTGTCAGGTACATTCAAACGTGAATTGCAAAACAGATACCCCAGTAAATACATGATCATACAGTATTTCCAGTGCATTCCTTTGAATTTCAGTGGGTGCTGAAATTTCCGATTTCGTTCTAGGTTTACTCGGGTTGGAAACGTGTAAATTTACTTAGGTGGGGAAACGTATGTAAATTTAGACATTTGCAAATCTTTACACACCATAGATATGTATGTATCATATCGGATATCAGAGGTATGTAAATGAACGGTTCATACATCGTCATGTTACCTGTGCTCAAGCAAGATGATGATATGTTTCCATCATCTGAATTACTTGGTTCATGGAATTTTATTTTCACACATTTTAGTACGTTTGAAATCAACGTTCACGTGACCTCATTATTCTTATTACCAAAAGAGCCTGACACAGAAAGCAGTATTACGCAAGCTAACACGCCTTATTCAGCTGCACTCGCTCTTGCTACCAGTATCAGTTACGCCTTGTCTGCGGTGTTGGAAATCTTGTGAAGTGCTTGTTTCGAGGGATTAAAAGGTTCAGTTATGAACAAAGGGCGATTAGGTGCCTCTTTGTCCTCTCAAGTGTCCCTAGCTGTCCCAATAGAATAGCACTTTATCTCTCTTAGAGCTCAGCCAAATATGCTACACGTACCAACTCGTAATTTCTTAAGTCTATTCAGCTTACTAATTTAATTAAAATACTTTTTTGGCAGTACATAATTGGAAATTTATTGCACTGCATGTGACCTTTCTTGATAGTCTCACAGTGCCTGAACCATGTTATTTCTCCTTCCGCTCAGCGTTTGCTGTAATAACGCCATACATCAGCTTTAAGTTGTCCACATTTGTTTCACTAGCGCAAAAGTATGCGACAACAAACAATGCCATATCAAATTATATATTCTGTGAGACATGAAATGAAAACTATTTTTTTCCGTGTAGCGATTATGACCCGATAGTACAGGCGGGGGCGTTCTCTGAGTATACCACAGGCATGTTGGACCTCCGTGCCTTTTTAAATTCGTCTTGATTTTCCTGTTTAAATTGACGATCGATGAACTCAGATTGCGAAAGCAAATGTCACACAAGTAAATGTGATGTTGCATTGCTGTACCTTTACCCGTCGGAGAAGTTCTTCTCAAAAAGATATATATTCCGTTGTTTGGAGCAGGCCTTTATGACTATTACGCCCCAGTGCTGCTAAACAACTCGCAGACCTTAAGTATGACATAGACGCAGACCTCGCATGTTCAAGTTCACATCTGATAGGGGCCGAAAATATTGATTCCGACATGTATGCAATATCTCATTAAGTTATTTTATTCCTAAGTAAGTGGAGTGCCTTCTACAACACTGGAGATAAATGTATCGCTGTCCTTCTAATATTCCCTCGAACGGAAGCTCTACCCATTTTAGGTACAATGTGTATGTTACAGAATAGTAGGGAATAGTCTTAAGACTTTTCAACTTTGACCAGGATTCTTCGAACTTGTAACAGTCGCTTCAGAAGATCAAAAGAGAAAGGGGTAGTGTGCGATGTATCTGACGGACGTATATACGGAGAACGTTCGAAGAATGTTACTGTATAAATACAATAATTGAAATACCGGTTATGATTTAAAAGTACCCTCAATCTGATAGCCAGAGAGATTATTGTGAAAGATCACATTATGTATCATCATAAACGGGCCAGGATAAAGGTACATGTCATTCATCCCCATAGTATATCCCTTCTATAGACACGGGGCATCGTTGTTAGAGGTAGGGCAAACACTTTCTTCTATAGGTATCTGCCGGTTTCACGCTACATACATGTATTCAGATTATTGAGAAAACTAGTGACGCAAGTTCTTCTCCATCACACATATAATTGTATAGATACCCAGTGATTAGTGATAGCGTTGAAGCAACTTATTAACATTTACGACAGACACCATCAACTGCATTAGTACTGCCACACCCAGCATCGTATTTATAGCTCTCTGACATAAGGTAACATATTACAGGGTTGTCATGGTAACGATAATTTGATATACTATTTATTGTCTTACTCTTTAATCAGCGATTAGAATTTAAATCAGTTTTGAGGTCAGCATGTTAAGAGAAAAGAAGCTGTAAAACGAAAAGTATTGTGATCGAATCTATTGGCCTTTGTAAAAGCAAGTTTCAAGCCACCTACATAAAAACCTGTTTTCATGATAAATATCTGCTA